CTTCATGTCCAAGCATGCGATAGAGGTGGTTGCCCTTATCAACCAATCGGCGATGACGAGTTTCTTGGAGTGCAACAAAATGACATCCAGCTTCATCAAATTGATGTTGCAAAATGCGCTGCCGTGTGATGGCAGTCGCGTTGCCGCGCTCTTGATGGGCCAAGGTCAAAACATTCACTGTGGCAAAGCAAACATCAAAGTGAACGCTTGTCGTAGAGAAAGCTGGTGGTAGAGAATCTGATGCTGATGGTGATGGACTAGGTTCAACTGGCTTTGGAATCGCCAATGAATGATGCTCAAGAATGTGGCCGTTGAGCATTGGTGCATCATGCGGTGTCGTTTGAATCCATTCATAGAACCATATCCATTGGATGGCAATAAGCATGGCTGGATCTTTCAGCCAAGAATACCAGGGTTCACAATCAGTAACGAGATTGCCTGCCGCTGATGCATGCTTGGCCAACTTGTCGACGAGCTCGTTCCAAGGGTGCTCGTTGTGCGCTTTGACATGTCCATGTAACTGATCCAGCGCCATGTCTTCCTTCCAGGATGTGCACAAGGGATCTCATGAGATTGCGCCAATCATGATACGCCACTGTTTTCCACCATCCTGCTGCTTGATATCCAGTGCCAGTAGCGTCAAAGTACATGTGGAAAGCAAGCCTTTGAGTTGGAAATTGTAATCCAAACCAGTCGCTGCATTGTAGGGCCCACAAAAGGGACCACATCATCGCAGCGTGCTCTCCCAGGTGGGCATGCTTTGCCTCAGGAACTCGGTGACACAAGTAGCCCCCAAAGACCATGCCATCTTCAAACTCCCATAAAAGAGAGACCGCTGCACCAACTTGCCCCTCAGAAAGTTTGGATCCATCAACATAGAAATGGCAGGCAATTGGAATCGCATCAGAAGTTGGTTCAATAAGGGTACGCAGTGCAGTTTGTGTGGCTGGGTGAAGCTCAATGCCACTCGGAAATGCGAAGATGGGCATGATGGGGCACATCTGCAGAGCTTGCTTAGCCCATATGACCGTGGAAAAGTCAACGTAAGTTTTTGGGTTGACTGGAATGCAAGCATCAAGGCATATAGTTTTGGTCTCCACTCCAGCCGGCTCCTGGGTGTGAGCCACCTGTCCAGGTATTAGGCGCTCGGCGGAGGGAGATTTTTGAAGGAGTGAGGTGTGATCTTGCAGACACTCCTCTTCATCGGAAATTGTTTCCCATTCTGTATCAGAATGCTGCCAATTTGCATATGCTGTGGGAATTTGTCGGAAGTTCATGCCCTCACGCAGGCGTTTTGCGATGAAGACTGGAGGAACATCTAAATGTGGATGTGGAGGAAGGTCAACTCGCACATAGTCCGCATGTTGAATGCTGTGTGAAAGATGTTCTTGTTGTTTGAGTCTTCTGCCATTCAGCCGAAGTAAACATTTCCGGCGGATGTGGGGCAATTCACAATATTCCAGCACTCCCAAGATCTTCAAAATGGCATTTCTGGTAATTGGGCTGGGAAGAAGTTTGGCACTTCGATGGGCATATAAGTTCTCAACTGAACCACCATGAAAAGCAATATCGACCAAGACAATCTTCGAGGGGTCACCTTGTGGTATATCCCCTGGTTGCTGGATCAAAGCAACATGTGTGTCTGCTGCCTGTAAGTCATTGGGTCGATGAGTCACGACATACAGTTGTTGAATGGCATGTCGTTGCAATCCAAGTACTGAGCGTATGTTGCCGTGCATAAGCGCCCAGTTTTCAGTTCGGATCCTGGCCATGACCATAGGAGCTTGAAGGCGAAAGATGTGAAAATAGTGTGACGGCTCCTCACTGTCGTATGTGGAGGCAGTGTCACTGGTTTCCATCTCATCATCTTGTCGTTCGTGCTGGGCCCCAGGATCATGTAATGCATGGTTCATGTGGATCACGTGCTGCCTGCTGCTGTTCAGTGACAGGTGGTTGGATTGCAAAAGGCCTGCCTTGGTGGGCCATTAAGGCGGTTTCATCACCATGTTCTGGGTTGTCACGTCGAGGAGAACGACTCCTGTCGTGCCTTTGTAGGTGATGGGCAACCTCGTCTGGATGCCAATACATACTGCGTAATTCAGCTGGACATTCGTCAAAGGCCGGTCGCACGTTGATGGTGATGGCTGCACCGTCTTGTACAGGAATTGCCGGGTGTGGAGGATCCAGTATCGGTCTCCAACCGTAGGTGACGGCAATGGGCCTATGTCTCACTGAAAAAGGGATGCTGGCAGTGTCGAGGCATGGTTGCTTGTGAAGGTGGTCCGGAACGAATCTTGCGTGCCGTTGGATTGCAATGCCTGTCGCAGAATGGTAGATGATGGAAAAGGCTGTCGCACACTCAAATGGTCGTGGATTTTGTACTACTATGAGGTGTGCTGCCTGTCGTTCATCACTGGCAAGAGGAAGTTCAGGACTCACAACATGGTAGAAGGTGGGGAGGTGCACTTCAAGCAGATCTCGCCACGCATTTCGAATGGTCGTTGTCCAGGTCCGGAAGTCCTCATTGAGTCTGATAAGTCTAGGACGATGATTTTCGAGATAATCACGGCCATGTAGAAACCACGTGAGGATTTCCATTGTGCGCTGCCCCTGGTCATTGACTTCGGCAAATTCTTGCATGGCATGACCAAGATCATGCACATGTGGTGGCTGTTGAAGCCATTCATTTTGGGCCGGATTCAAGTTTGGTGTGATTTGTTCGTAACGAGGTTCAAATGCTCCTCCTGAGGCATCCTGGGACTGCTCTGGATAGTGGTATGACACCACATCATGAGAGCGTGGTCGCAGTGCCCATGGTTTGGTATTGATAGGCCATTCTGTCAAAGTGGAGTGCGTCACGTCATACTTGGTCATATTGGAGTTCTCATCTTCATAGCAAAAGGCAAGTTGTACATATGAAGAGAAAGTCACAAACCTTGATTTCGGAGCACATCTCTCATCAAGAGGAGTTCTCAACGATGTGAAAGGTTTGGAGATCTGCAAAGATGACCATGTTCCACATTCTTCGGATAGCTCACAAGCTTCATGAATGGCATGAAAAGGGAAGAAACATCTCTGTTGCAAAACTTTCGAATGTAGAGGTTGATGCAGAGAGTCATGGCATGGTGGTCCACATAAATCATGATGGCTTGCTGCATGACGTTGTCGATTCAAGTCATAGGCCTCAACCTTCACGAAATTGTGTTCACGACCAAGGATAGCAGGCACACGGTCTTCTATCTCACACGGACTAAAAGTCCCGCTGCCCAAAATCACTTGCCATGCGAGGCACTTGCTGATCCATCCTTTTGCTCGTTGGATCGAAGTCTTTTCCGACTGGCATCCATGGCTTCGTCGTCGGATTCGATCTCGATGGGAGTGCGCTCTTCTGTCATCTCCATGCACTTGGTCAGAAGTTCTCCAACTTGTGAACGTAGTTTCTTCTCCTCCTTGTCGTACTCCGGCAAGGTTTCGTCGAAATCGTCTTCGATGACAGTCTCTGGCATTGAGGCCAAGGAAGCTTGGGTGTTGAGTCGTTGAATCTCTCTTCTGGACGTGTTGATAGCTCGTCGTCCATTGGTGATTCTCTGACCATAATCTTGCTGCTGTTCGTCGAAAGCCACCATCTGCTTCTCCAAGGACTCCATGACCTGTTTGAGGTGTCGGAGCCAAGACTGTCGATGTTTGTGTTGAGCTTCTTGAAGTTGTCGAAGCGTAGATCGTGCCTTGTCCAAAGCATCTGTACTTCGGTGCAGTGCAGAGGTCAAGTGCTTTGTAGTGTGCTGGTCGGCCTTGTCCAAGACTCGTCGCACATTGTCGGGTCGATTCTTGGGATCTGGGTAAGCTTCTCTCAAAGCTTGTGCCATTTCGTAGTTCTCGGTGTCGTTGGACGTATTCTCGGTCACCAAGGTAGCTGCTGCAGAGTTTCCACTGTTTGGCATCCAAGGTGGAGGGAGTGTCGGTTTGGCATATGTCGGAACTTCTTCGTTCTTGTTGCCACGACCTCGACCTCTTCGTCCACGATTCTTGCGACTCTGTCGATTCGAATTGGTGCTCTGATTGGAAGTGCTCCTTCTCCTCGAGGTTGAGCGATTTTGTTCTCTCGACCATTCCCAATCTGTTCGATCTTGATGGACCTGTCGTGCAGTAGGAGTACGTGCACGTCGTCTCTGCGGAGTGTAGTTGCTGTCCGCCATCTTGCTCCAATGTCCGCCACAAAAGGGGCAGTGCACATGACTCCAACTTGCTATCTTGTAGCACTTCTTGCAACGCCAAGAGTCGTCCTCCTCCATGATGAACTGACTTTGATGATCTGCAAGACGTCGGATGTGGGCAAGGTGTACTGGATCCGCTGAGTGATGTCTCTTCAAGATATGGGCAAAGGTGTGAAGCCTTTGGCTGGTAAGAATCTTGAGCCCTTTGCGATGTAGCCACAAATGATGTCTCACAAGGGCGCGCTTTCTGCGCTGGCGCCGCCGCCAAGATGAGTTGTTCGCCAGCGTCGCAATGATGTAGAGCAAAAAGAAATACCAGAAAAACACAAATTTTCATAAATATACCCAACCGGTGAGATGGCACCGCAGACCCAGTGGGTATTTATAGACCAAAGAGCGACCAGGGTTCCACCAGTTCAGTCGCAAAATGTCGTGCTCGTCCACGTTCGAAGAACAGGAAGTCACAGAGCAAAGGTGATTAGGCCTGCACTGGACCCAAGAGCACAAGAAACCAGGCAGCGCGTGCAAGATCTCGTCAGCTACGCCAGCTGCCCACGGGCACTCGACAATGCAGCGCCCGTTAAGGTTGATCGGCTACCCTGTGAATGAGCGAGGGCTTCTCGCAACACCCACTTACAGCCGAAACCTTGCCCATTTTTATATATATATATAGTTAACTAATCTTAGGTTTAAGCATGGAATGCCAAACAAAAGCAAAAAACGGAACTGACATGTTGTGATGTGGGTTGTTTTCTGCATGAATATCTCATGCTGAGCCAGCGCATCTTTTTCTCCTGCCATCGTCGCGTCACACACTGCGATCGCAATCTATGATCACTATGTTCAACATACCTCTTGGGGCCAGCTTCACGTCGTAAGAGGCCTCATCAATTCGATGTCAATGCATTGATGCTGTTGATGCTGTTGATGCCATGCAGTTCGACCTCAAAGAAAAGGTCCGAATTCGGAGGAATGGGACCTGTGCCTGCCTCGCCATAAGCCAAAGCAGCCGGCACTCGCATGACAGCTCGCTCTCCAAGGCTCATATGGCTCAAGCCCACTTCCCAGCCACGGATCACTTGAGAGGCACCAAGTTGAAAGCTAAAGAGGTCGCCATTCTTCGTCGAATCGAAAAGCTGACCATTTGGCAGGTAGCCTGCATACTCCACAAAGAGCTTGTCGCCATCTTTGGGAAAGGTCCTGCCATCCCCAGCCACAACTTGCTTCAGCATTAAGCCACTTTCAAGAAGCATAGCAGGGACATTTGATGACAACATCTTGGGAAGCAAATTTGTCTGGTTCCCCAAGTTGCTCTCCTGCGTCTCCTTCCCTGAACTAAGCGATTTTGAGGAAGTGGGCGTTTCCATGAGGCTCTCGAGGGTGTCTTCATCAAGACCACCATGCTGCACTTTCTGGAGAATCTCTGGGCTCAAAATCCGTTGCAAAGCTTCTGGGCTTTTCACCAACTCTGCAAGCTTTGGATTCACTGCCATCATCTGCTGCACCATGGCATTCTCTTGCACAACCTTGGTCAAGAGCGCCTTGTCTGCGGTGATGTTCTGAATCTGCTTCTGAATCGTCTGGTTCTCCAAGTCTTGCTTCAAACCAGGGTCCACGTAAGCTCCTTCAAGATCTTCCCCAACAGATTGCAGCATGTTCTGCAAAGCCTCTGCGTCGATGTGCTTGTTGGACCCCAGCTTCTGAAAGATGCTGCTCCATGCTCCCATGCCAGGCATCTTTTTGTTTCCATGGATGACATCATCCAAGCTGAAGCTTTCTTGTTGCTCAGGATCAAGAACCCTCTTCTCTCGATGTGCAACCGAGATGCCCGATGGCACTTGCACCACAGCGGCACTGGCACCAAGGAGGATCACAGCCGCCAGGAACATCATCGTGCTCGCAAGGCAATCTGGCTTGGCACAATGGCACAATGGCACCAGAGAAATTGGATGTTGGTTGCTCTTGAAGCCAAAAGTCCGGATCAATCGCTGAATCACAAGCATTCAAAAGCCTTCATGACAGCATCTCTAATCAGGCAACTTGATCATAGGTGCACTCTGGATTGGTCAGAGAAGCTTTCAAAGGAGACCGAGGATAAGAGTGACGGATCAAAAAAAACAAACATGGAATCATTATATGTAGCTAATTAATTTTAGGGTTAAGCATGGAATGCCAAACAAAAGCAAAAAACGGAACTGACATGTTGTGATGTGGGTTGTTTTCTGCATGAATATCTCATGCTGAGCCAGCGCATCTTTTTCTCCTGCCATCGTCGCGTCACACACTGCGATCGCAATCTATGATCACTATGTTCAACATACCTCTTGGGGCCAGCTTCACGTCGTAAGAGGCCTCATCAATTCGATGTCAATGCATTGATGCTGTTGATGCTGTTGATGCCATGCAGTTCGACCTCAAAGAAAAGGTCCGAATTCGGAGGAATGGGACCTGTGCCTGCCTCGCCATAAGCCAAAGCAGCCGGCACTCGCATGACAGCTCGCTCTCCAAGGCTCATATGGCTCAAGCCCACTTCCCAGCCACGGATCACTTGAGAGGCACCAAGTTGAAAGCTAAAGAGGTCGCCATTCTTCGTCGAATCGAAAAGCTGACCATTTGGCAGGTAGCCTGCATACTCCACAAAGAGCTTATCGCCATCTTTGGGAAAGGTCCTGCCATCCCCAGCCTTCACTTGCTTCAGCATTAAGCCACTTTCAAGAAGCATAGCAGGGACATTTGATGACAACATCTTGGGAAGCAAATTTGTCTGGTTCCCCAAGTTGCTCTCCTGCGTCTCCTTCCCTGAACTAAGCGATTTTGAGGAAGTGGGCGTTTCCATGAGGCTCTCGAGGGTGTCTTCATCAAGACCACCATGCTGCACTTTCTGGAGAATCTCTGGGCTCAAAATCCGTTGCAAAGCTTCTGGGCTTTTCACCAACTCTGCAAGCTTTGGATTCACTGCCATCATCTGCTGCACCATGGCATTCTCTTGCACAACCTTGGTCAAGAGCGCCTTGTCTGCGGTGATGTTCTGAATCTGCTTCTGAATCGTCTGGTTCTCCAAGTCTTGCTTCAAACCAGGGTCCACGTAAGCTCCTTCAAGATCTTCCCCAACAGATTGCAGCATGTTCTGCAAAGCCTCTGCGTCGATGTGCTTGTTGGACCCCAGCTTCTGAAAGATGCTGCTCCATGCTCCCATGCCAGGCATCTTTTTGTTTCCATGGATGACATCATCCAAGCTGAAGCTTTCTTGTTGCTCAGGATCAAGAACCCTCTTCTCTCGATGTGCAACCGAGATGCCGGATGGCACTTGCACCACAGCGGCACTGGCACAAAGGAGGATCACAGCCGCCAGGAACATCATCGTGCTCGCAAGGCAATCTGGGTTGGCACAATGGCACCAGAGAAATTGGATGTTGGTTGCTCTTGAAGCCAAAAGTCCGGATCAATGATCAATGGCTGAATCACAAGCATTCAAAAGCCTTCATGACAGCATCTCTAATCAGGCAACTTGATCATAGGTGCACACTGGATTGGTCAGAGAGGCTTTCAAAGGAGACCGAGGATAAAAGTTACGGATCAAAAAAACCAAACATGGAATCATTATATGTAGCTAATTAATTTTAGGGTTAAGCATGGAATGCCAAACAAAAGCAAAAAACGGAACTGACATGTTGTGATGTGGGTTGCTTTCTGCATGAATATCTCATGCTGAGCCCGCGCATCTTTTTCTCCTGCCATCGTCGCGTCACACACTGCGATCGCACACTATGATCACTATGTTCAACATACCTCTTGGGGCCAGCTTCACGTCGTAAGAGGCCTCATCAATTCGATGTCAATGCATTGATGCTGTTGATGCTGTTGATGCCATGCAGTTCGACCTCAAAGAAAAGGTCCGAATTCGGAGGAATGGGACCCGTGCCTGCCTCGCCATAAGCCAAAGCAGCCGGCACTCGCATGACAGCTCGCTCTCCAAGGCTCATATGGCTCAAGCCCACTTCCCAGCCACGGATCACTTGAGAGGCACCAAGTTGAAAGCTAAAGAGGTCGCCATTCTTCGTCGAATCGAAAAGCTGACCATTTGGCAGGTAGCCTGCATACTCCACAAAGAGCTTGTCGCCATCTTTGGGAAAGGTCCTGCCATCCCCAGCCTTCACTTGCTTCAGCATTAAGCCACTTTCAAGAAGCATAGCAGGGACATTTGATGACAACATCTTGGGAAGCAAATTTGTCTGGTTCCCCAAGTTGCTCTCCTGCGTCTCCTTCCCTGAACTAAGCGATTTTGAGGAAGTGGGCGTTTCCATGAGGCTCTCGAGGGTGTCTTCATCAAGACCACCATGCTGCACTTTCTGGAGAATCTCTGGGCTCAAAATCCGTTGCAAAGCTTCTGGGCTTTTCACCAAGTCTGCAAGCTTTGGATTCACTGCCATCATCTGCTGCACCATGGCATTCTCTTGCACAACCTTGGTCAAGAGCACCTTGTCTGCGGTGATGTTCTGAATCTGCTTCTGAATCGTCTGGTTCTCCAAGTCTTGCTTCAAACCAGGGTCCACGTAAGCTCCTTCAAGATCTTCCCCAACAGATTGCAGCATGTTCTGCAAAGCCTCTGCGTCGATGTGCTTGTTGGACCCCAGCTTCTGAAAGATGCTGCTCCATGCTCCCATGCCAGGCATCTTTTTGTTTCCATGGATGACATCATCCAAGCTGAAGCTTTCTTGTTGCTCAGGATGAAGAACCCTCTTCTCTCGATGTGCAACCGAGATGCCGGATGGCACTTGCACCGCGGCACTGGCACCAAGGAGGATCACAGCCAGGAACATCATCGTGCTCGCAAGGCAATCTGGCTTGGCACAATGGCACAATGGCACCAGAGAAATTGGATGTTGGTTGCTCTTGAACCCAAAAGTCCGGATCAATCGAAAGCTTTCACACCTGCGTTTTCATCACAACCTCATTTCAAGAAGCCAGCAGAAATTAGGGTAAAGGGTCCAGCAATGAGTCATTGAGTCTGCGAAATTGCAGCCAAGTTTTGAAAATCTGGAACAAACCTCAACTTCATCCAGGTCTGGTTGATGGTATTCCTACCCCTCTGAAAAATATGAGTTCGTCACTTGGGATGATGACATTCCCAATATGATGGGAAAGTATAATCCAGCCATGTTCCAAACCACCAATCAGAGGTGTTCTTTTTCAAATGACCACATGTCAACCAGGTGCATGTTCAGGCCCCGACAGGTTTGAAGATCACCCAGCAGAATACTCTCAGGCGTGTTGGCCACCAAGAATCGATCCTCACGCAACGTTTGGATGGGAGAATCCTGGAAAGCTGAATGCTTTCACTGAGCTGTAAATCGAAGTTCTATAAGTCTATGAAGTTGGAGATTCCACTCAAGTTGAGGAGTTGAGGTGTTGATGACTTCAATGTTGGTTCAAAGGAGACCATGTTCTGGCAGAATTCCACACCTGCCCTATTGGAATGTCCATCATGTTAATGGGAGGCTTTTCTGGCAGTGGAACCACTTCTGCCACCCACCCATTGACCCAGACCCTCTACCAGAGATCCACCGAATTTGTGTTCATAAAATCCCTTTTTTAGCTCTTAAAATCTCCATTTGAGCTGGTGAAATCACCATGTTTGATTGCTAAATTCCCATTCTTGATGGTAAATAACCACCATGTTGGCTCTTTAAATCCCCCATAAATCCCCTCCTTCAGGGCTACCACGCCCCGCCCCAGCTACGGTCCTGGAAAATGTTGATCTTTTGGATCTCGAACCCAACGTTGCTCTTCAGCACGATGCGATGGCCCGTAGCGATGCTCTTCACAATGACCTACGGTACGGTTACCCGGCCTGGTAAACATACAAAAAACTATGGAAAGATCCACCATGTTCAATGGGAAAATCCACTATTTCTATGGTCATTTTCAATAGCTATGTTAAATTACCAGAGGGTAAATCCTGGAAGGTTGGGAGTTACACAAACACTATCATTTCAAGATGATTCTCTAACTGAACTTTGTTAAATTTTAAGTGATGTCTTAAAGATATAGTTTTTTCTGGATCGATTATGATGAGCCAAACTGAAATCTTTGGTCATTTGGGGATAGGTACCCGCAGTGACGTCGCAGATGCTTGAAATCACCAACACGTTCCCCTCTGGAGTGAGCGCAGCATTTGCAGAAACCAACAAATCTTTGTCTAATGGCATAAGCCTAAATTGCTGGTTGGTGGTATACCTACCCCTCTGAAAAATGATGGAGTTCGTCACTTGGGATGATTATTCCATTCCCAATATCATGGGAAAGTCATAATCCAGCCATGTTCCAAACCACCAATCAGTGTTTGTTGGTTTATAAACCATGAATTAATCCCCATTGACTATATAGTTATAATGGTTATCTATAATTATAATCCCCATAATCGTTATAATTATAATCCCCATAAACCATGAATTAATCCCCATTCTAGTTATATATATATATCTACCATAAACCAATTTTTCTGCAGCACTCCCCAGTGAACGTTCTCGGCCTGACTCAGCGAGACGTAGGTGAATTCATGCGTGCCGCGATAGCCTTGGGAGATCTCGGCGATGGAACCCTTGGGATCCACTTGAAGCTGGAGAAAACCACCCTTGTTACCCTCTGGTAAACCTACAAAAAGCGATTGAAAATCACCATTTTTTTATAGGTAAATCAACTATTTCTATGGGCCATTTTCTATAGCAAACTGTTAGTTTACCAGAGGGTATTTGTCGAATGTCCTGGGATGTCAACGCAGGGTTTTCGTTCAAAGTGACAGAAGGCATTTCCAAAGGCTACATACCATGCTAGCAGTACCATGAGCCAACCTTTGACCACTCAAAGTGGCCGGGCTGTGGGTGAGTTTGCAGTAAAATGAAGCACAGAAGCTATCGATCAACCTTGGATACCCAACAATTTGGATGGTGTTAACAATGATCATGGATGATCATAGTGTCTGGCCAAGGAGTCTAAAAGTTGGTTGCACCGTCACGTCCGGCGTTGGAAAATCATCATGTCTACCTGTGGTCCTCAGAGAAACTTTGATCTGCATCCTGCCCAATTTCTACAGTGTTGCCCCCAAACAGGTTCCGCACCCATGCTTTCTGGTGCAAACCCGGTCTGAAATCAACCATGGTACCGCAAGTGAAGGGCAGCACATCTGTTCAACTGATAGCTTCCAGTCTTGCACCGTGGACTAATGTGGGCAAAATAACAAACCATCCCCCAGTCATCACCATAATAGGTGGTATGTTTGCCCCAAATGGGTGGTGCCAATGGCATTGTTTTACCCACATTACATGTTACTTACAACTCATCAAAAAGTCTGCAGAAATCCTGGGATCCTTAAAACCCACCCCCTCAGGCATCCCCGACGCGAGCGCCGGATGCAGACGTCGAACATGTCCACGCCGCCGCACAACGAGCCCACGATGAGCCGCGAGCCGTCGGCGCGCCAGGTCAGGGCTGTCACGGAGTAGAGGTTGGGCACCTACCGCGGAGCCATTGCTTTGAACTAGCAGTATAGGGATATATAATACTATATAATACTATAGTTTATATGTGTATATATATATAATATGTGTCTGTGTATGTATAATATGTATGTGTATTACGTATATGCAATTATATGAATAATATTTAAAATAAAAAACATTAAGTGGTTCAAACGGGTGGTACGTGTGCTTGGGAACATCAGCGACAATAGAAGTTTGACCGTCCAAAAAATAGTGCTTTGACATCAAAGTTTGACCATCCATAAATTGTGGTTAAGCATCAAAAAATGCAAAAATCTACCTAGAGCATGAATCATTTTGCAATATTTACCCTGGTTTAACCGTTTTAACCATTAACAAATGGAATTTAACTATACTACAGGATGGGGCCCCCCCAGTTATAAGCTGGTTTATAAACCATTATAATTAATCCCCATTAACTATAGTTATATCTACCATAAACCATAGAATTCAGCCACTTATAAACCAACTTAGCTATCTTGGGGGCCCCATCCTGTAACGTATGTGGAAAACGCAGTGATGCCTCAGTTCGTTAATCAAGTTGGGTCAATGACTCGCTTACCTCTTGGGGAGGGCGTCACCTGGCAGGTATTGGCAAAAGCCAAGTGATCCTCCACTTGCAGATGGCTAAAGTCCTCCCCACTTCTAAACTGGGGATGATGATTCATTACATTGAAAGATATTGGATTTGCCGCATTGTGGTGGTTTAAATCAACAAGTTCATTGACCAAAGAACCCATTAATATGTACTCAGAGCATTACATACCCATTATGAGTATAATCCATACGCATTCATTGGTTTATTCCTGTTTTTGCTGGTGCAATCACCCGCCTCGCGCTGCACAACCTCTGCCCATTCGCTCCTCTTTGGATGCCATGCGAAGACCTGCAAAAGGACCAGACCCTTCGATCTTTCGGTTGGTTTGAGGGGAAAATGGATGATTTGATTTAACCATCCAAAATGCTGGATTTCAGTGTTGAATAGCAGTTTTTGGGACTTTAACCATGAAAAAAAGTTGTACTTTAACCCGCGAACAATGGATTGTTGGGACTTCAACCATGAAACAGGTTGGATTGAACCCATGAATTATGAGTTTTAATCGATTGAATAAATCCTTGAATTGGTTTCAGGGAAATCATACGGAGGACACTCCTGTATTTCATGGGCAAAAGTGACATCTCGTTTCCGGGGTTTCTCGATGTTCCTGTAATCCAATCCGATGATGCAATAGGCGCTGCTCCATTCATTCAAGGTCCAACAAAGACTGGTTGGTGGTTTTAACAATCTTGAAAAATATGAGTTCGTCAATGGGTTTCGGATGACATCCCATATATGAAATGGAAAATAATCCAGTCATGTTTGAAACCACCAACCAGCTAGTAGTCATAGTAGTCACTTGGAAGAATCTTAGAAGATCATCCCATCCTAAGTGACTATCGGTGGTCAAACACCAGGGCTCCCGTGGGCTTCTGCGCCCCCTGGCGACCAAGGCGCCAGGATGCGATTGTAGTTCCCCAGCACCACCGATTCACCGGAGGGGTTGAAGGCGGCACAGGTGAACTCCTCACGGGTTGGATGGTGATCCCCAAAAGATAGGCAAAAAACGGCACCTCGAAAGGAAAAGTTGGGAAGGTAAAATCGGTAAAATCCAAAAAATCCAACGCAAAAACACATCAAAATGAAAGGGCTAAGAATTATGGGGAGTTCACACGCCAGGCAGAAAAACGGTCCTTTCCAATAAGAACACCCGGCGAGATCGGTCCTTGATCTTGGAGTCGGTGCTGTAATCGAAGCTTTGTCCCTCTCGGCCCTTGCAGTGCTGGCATGATTCGACGCCATCAACAAATTGGCTACATGGAAAACAAGATGAATTTCCCCAAAGCTTCCAGTGCTTTAAATTGCTTCTTGGGAGGCGCACTTTGGTGTCCCAGTTGTGCGAAATAAAGTATCCCAGCCTGGCACCTCCCGGTAAGAAGGATATTGATAGCAGAAAAGCGGTAGGTTCCCCCCGATCGTTCGCAACTTCTCCCCTCTAATACCTTTTGGGTAAACAAATCTGGCCATGCAGAATACCCCATATTGTATATTATGTTCTTACTAGACACAGGTATGGATCAAAATCAGGTGCCAATGGACCCGCTCAGTTTGTCTTTCTTAAGACCTCAACGTCAACTCATCCACTTTGGCCGCACACCCACATGGGGTTTCCTCCAGCTTGACCAATGTTTAGCTCTAAATCACCATGCGTCATGGTTCTGGTGTAATCCTAACTTTATGGGTGATTTGTCCTCCTTAAATCATCATCTTTAGCCGGTTTAATCACCATGTTTAGCTCTAAATCACTATTTTTAGCTGGTCAAATCACCATGTTTAGCTCTAAATCACCATTTCCAGCTGGTTAAATCACAATTATTCCATATGATTCCCTGCCTCAAATCCCTCGTTTTAGGATGTCAACTCCTCAAATCCCGCAACGCGATTTTTCGGTGCACCTCAGAGTCCCAGAATCGCACCATGCGATCGTTGCCCGCCGCGCAGATGCCCGCGTAGCCCCAGGAGAGCGCGTAGGGCACGCACTGCCGAGCTGAGTGGATTCTCCGGATCTGAAAAATTCCTGGAATATCTGGGGGGTTGACGTCCATAGTCATGGGTTGACCCTTTGAAATAGATGGTTATGG